CTCGTCCCTGGCGTCCGGGCGCCCAGCGCCCACCCCCACCCTGGCCGTGGCCCCGCGGTGGCGGCAGCCGGTGTGGCCGGTGAGGAGAAAGACCGAAGTTCCCCCTCCCCCCCAGCCTCCGCACGAGTTGCGGCTCTCCTCGTGGTTTCTGGGAAGTGCTAGAAACGTGGCCCTAAAAAGAATGGCGTCCATTTACATAATGCTTTGTTTGCTTTTAGCAAGTTTCCTTTGGTTAAATCCGCAAAATCTCCACCTCCTGACTTAGTGTTTTAGTACCCGCAGCCTTGTCAGATATTTAAAATGGTGTGCTTCTTGGGGGTCACTTTCATGGGGTACTAACCAGGGTTTTGGAGAGCTGCAGTTTGCCCCAAACGCTTTACGCTCCCGCTGCGGCCTTGAGGCCCTTTCCTTGCTTGGTGCAGCCGCCGCCCCGCGCTCCGGGGGCGGCCCCCGACTGGGCCCGCCATCTTGGAAGGCCTTTTCCTGCCTGGATCGCTACCGCACGTTCTTCGCGGTAAAGGAAGGTCGCTGGGTACGCTGGTGTACCAATTGTGATTTTTGCCCCTTCGTCTTCCCTTCGGCTAAGCCAGACAGAAAAGGCCATGTGCGCAACGTGCTTCAGGATCCCTTAGGGAAAGCGGCTAACGTGGCGGTCCCTCCACCCCCTCTTCCTTCCCCACGGGGGTGGCAGCCATGTTTCGTGAACACAAAATGGCGACACGTGGCCCGGATTCCTCGCCGAGAAATTGGGGGGTCAGCACGAAAGCTGTAGAATACACCCCCGTAGTCACCCCCAACCCCCGTGCCCGGGGGCCTTCCTCACGTATCGAGTTCTCTGATCACTCGTATAAAACCGTCCAAATCTGGGCGGGAGAGGGGCTGAATTTTAATGCATTTCTCCCATTATTTTGAAACGGGAATGCGAATAACCGTAAAATGTAGGCATAATATTCGTGTCTTGCTCATTTAAAATTTAATGCATAGTAGTGGCCAGTCCCAATGGGTAATGGGT